GGTGTAGTTTGTACAACATTAGTAGCTTTACATGTATACATTTTCCCATTATCATCCTTATCCAGATTCCATGTGTAATCAAGTGTAACTGTGACATCATCATCTGATGACAATAAATCTTGAATCTGATTGTTACCTTGATACCAGTGTAATGTTGCCAATGGATTACCATCAGTTGATTGGCAACTTATTTTCATTTCATCATCGAGTAAATGAGAAGGTGTTGGTGTAGTCTTGTAACTGCAGACAGGATTACCTGGGGAATCTACAATTGTAATGAAATTATAAAGATATACAACACATTTTTGTTATACCTTACATGTCAAGTGGACAGTATGAGATTAAACCTTTTATTATCGTTTGGTGGTGTAATACAATATACCGGTAGCATATCTAACTAAAGATCAACATCATATCAACGCTGGAAACACCTTCCCTTCCAAACTAATTACGTATAAGAAAGATTATTAAACAGATTGTACTAATTGTGAGTAACAGATTTGCAGAGTTAGTTCGTAAAATTCAAAATATATATTCAAAGCCAAAACCCCCAAAACAAATAAGTGCCAATGAAAGATGGAGAATATGATGGTGTACTTGCATTCATTCAAGATACATTTGGTACCAGTAGTGATTTGAGTGAGAGGGACAAGTTAGTTAAAACTGTATGATATATGTTCTCTATAATATTTTGAAGGTTCTATTCGAGTATGATTACGTCATTGCTCTAATTACCCAGAGTTCAATGCTCATAAACAGGTAAGAGTGTTCCACCATTTTGAACCGTACAGACTGGTTCTTTTTACGTTAAGCCACAAACTTGTCAATATATTACATTCTCATAATGACAATAACAATAACTGTGTAATTGCTACATTAATTAAATTAAGTATCACTGATTTGATACTCCCTAAATTCTGATGATTAAATTACAACAGGCCATTGTTGTTGCCATGAATGGATTCCGTGTGTTGTAATTTAATGTGACTCAGTTGCATACAAATGTAGACTCCATGGAAACAACTAAAATGTATGACGTCACATTATTTGTCAGTATTGTAATCATTATAGCTTTGCAACTCCAATGTAAACATTGATTCTGACAATTTCCATATAGGATGTGATCCAACTGTCCCCGGTATGGTCAATTCACATTCCTTGATTAAATGTACACTTAACACTGATTAACACTACATTATGCAAATTAAATGGTGAGTGTGCATGTTCGGTTAATAATTATTAACAGCCATTATAAAGTTTATACTTACATCTAATATTCAGAGTAATATCATCTGTTTTACTTCCTTTAACATTTGACACTTGACATGTAAAAGTTCTACCATTATCGTCTTTTTCACTTGCATTAATAGTTAATATAGTCCCAGACATAGTGAGTTGATATCTATCCAGTGCTGGTAATGGTTGGTTATCTCTCAACCATCTGAAAGTAGGTGTAGGAGAACCAGTTGATTCACATGTCATAATAATTACATCACCTTCATTGAATGGATTACTGCCAGTGAGACTTATCGTTGGTTCAGATGGTTCTGTTGCAGCTGTGAAGAATACATAAAAAATATCATGTAGTTATTATTCTACTGAAATTATGATATTATGTGAATCAGTATTAAGCGCAAATACTTGCATCATGAATAATTAACCAGGTGGCAAATGTTTAAATGTATTTAAATCCAATGTATCACAGTTGTTAGAGAACTCCGTAGAAGTTTGGGAATACACCATGTATTTCCTTAAAAACATATAAGAAAGTGCACTTTCCCCTTTACACACCAATTCGGAACCACATCCACATCAACAAAAACCACAACCAACCACATCACAAAAATGGCAAATACTACCTAGGCAACAATGTCTAAATACCACAAATACCTATATATTATTGTCTCAAGGTGACTCACATCATGATCACACATATCTACACATCACAAATATTGTCTTTAATAATTAGGCAACAATGTTCACATTAGGGACTCTAATAAATACGTAGACAACATCTTTTAAATTATGACTTGTAATAAATACCTAGGCAACGTGTGGCTACACATACCTTAAAAACATTGTTCAGAACGATGCCTCTATGTATTGACAACAGTGTTTAAATAAATTATGTTCACAAATAAACAGGCAACAGCATTACAAATACGGGCTGTAATACCAAGACAACACTGTCCAAATTATGGCCTCTTATGAATACCATCAAAGTGTTACCACTCATTACATTTGACAAGAACCAGGTCTCTAATATATTAACAGTGAAAGTTAATAATAGTAAAATTTAAGTATAACATTGTGTGTAATTATAATGGTTTATATGTATACAACATAAATGAAATGTTGCCATTTAAAGAGTGTCCACTATTCTGATGAATTGCTATTTGTTGAATTATATTTTGTGTCGTGACGTGTAGTAAATAGGCCACTCCCTGAGCAACAGAATATGTTAGATTTGACCACCCCCCCCAAAAAAAAACAACAACAACTGGCAAATATGTATGAGGCCAGTGAATTTGATTCCAGCAAATGCAACTACATATTTGAAATAAAAAAACTGTCATATATCACCCGAGGAGGGGGTAGTTGAGATACAGATTGACTGAAACCTAGCTGGCGTCTGAATTATTGTCGACCAGCAGTCCCCTATTCAAAGAGCAATTAAGTAGCCACCAAAAATATAAACGCTTATTACATTTAAAACAGCCTGCTAGCCGACAAGGCTAAAAACTACGGGCTGCTTAGGCATTTACATTGACATCGTCCAGCTATAATACATCCAAGCCCTAAAACACGTGTTCGTTAGCTATTCGGGCCTGTCACAAATTTACAATTTATAAAAAAAAATATGCGACTGTTACGCTGAAATAAGGTTTTATAATAAAATAATCCCAAAAATTAACCGACGTTAACCTTTTGGTAATCAACAACAATTAACAGTCACAAGGAAAGGGTTGAGATCAAAATGCGTAAATTTGCTCAAATCAGTCAAAAAATCTCTCTTGGGCAAAAGTAGAAGAAACTAGATAAATTCATGTAAATGTCTACGGAGTAGTATTATTCAGTTTCGATAAATATTTGTTATCACTACGAACAATATAAGTTGCACACAATGTATTTCAAACTTATCTCAAACTAGCCATAGTAGTCTAACAGCTACCGCGGCATCCCTCCTTAGGCATTGACTATTATCCTCGCTAGAATTTGGCAGTCAGACCACAAGTAACAATTATTGATGTAGAATTTGTCTGACAATGCTGAACTTAGTGAGTATGGATACTATTTGAGCGGCCATCAATCCCAATCTGGGACGTATAGTACACATCAACGCGGCAAAGTGGGTTCACGCCACCACAAACATAGATTAGTTATGGCCCTCAAAAAAGAATAATACAAAACCAGTAAAAGTAATTAAAATGACTAACAAACTTTACACAAACGCAATCCAAAATTTAATGTAGTTAAAATGCATTAAATAATTTCTTTACAAGTCCGTATATGCTGTTCGATTGCCTAATATCCTTATAAACTATTACACACACGGGCTCCAGCAATGAACAGGTAGCCTTTAAAATCTAACTTGTGGTCTCCAGGTCCTGTCTTCAAATTGTTGGCAACTGCTGTTCCATTGTTAATTTTATACAAATCTCATGTATGTACACATTTATCTTATATATGGAGGCGATATATCATTAAGTGACCTAAAAACTAGAATTTCTATGCAAAAAGACAAGATTATGCAATTGTAACCATCAATGAGATCTAAAAATATCTTTAGATGAGTTTCTGCCAAATGTATCATTTCATATATCAGATGCGCCACCCGTTTCTGTAACCGAAATAGCTTTGACGTCAAAGTAAAAACTATGCGTAGGTCTAATAAAATTGAGCTTCTTAAATTGTTGTCTGCTCGACGACCAAGCACGTAATTTGAAACCAACCGAATCTCGTAATCTGTTTCCGTCGCGTTTGTCGCCGTATCAGTACCGTTTGTAAAGGTAAATAGATATATTCGTATTAATCTAGAGGTGAGCCTAAATTACAGCATTAGGAATAATTAGGCAAACACACGGCACCTAACAGTACGAACTTGAACCGATATACCGTGATTTCAAAATCTTGATTATTATATCAGAATCGCCTGAATCGAGTACCACGTTTAAAAAACGCCTTCTCAACGTCACATATTAACGCAATCCGATTGGCGCGAAACCTCGGCAAAATGACCGGCATGTCGCTAATGAAGGAAGGTTCGGTATGAAACTAGGATAATTTTCGTCTTTTTTTACACGAACAATGGTGACGACGTAGTTATGGTTATAATATTACTTTTAAAAAAGGTCAGGCTAGAGCCGGCGTATGTAGTATGACAGTATATTTGCCATCTTCTGGTGAATCAAACATTAAATCAGTATTGTCTATTTCCGGACTGTGATTAGTGTTAGTGATTTCAAGTTCCCAGAAGTTATTGACTGGTTATTTGTTACAGCAGGTGTCGTATCGGTCAACATCATGTTAACATTAAAATTGGGATTGTTAAATTGTTCGATTTTCCAACAGATTAAACAACTAAATGAACCGACGGGTCGAAGTTTCCCACACAGTGTGTGGTCATGGTCTCCAACGTAATTTCAGTATTGGTCAGCTCCATGATTAAAGTCGATATCAATGCGACTGGTATTTGTCGCTAGGTGGGTTAATTTTAAACCCTTCAGCATTACGTGTCTTGTCGGGGATTCAGACTGTGACCGAGCGTTGATCGTTAACACTTTGCCATTTAATCCACGTACGATCATGTCAATGTATTCTTGTCATGTTAATGTTTTCCTTTTTAGTGATTGGGCAGAAACTTTACGGGTGAATTTCACAGAAATAAACGTTTTCTTGGCTCCCTTATTGAATAATACGACGGCATTAACAGAATCATTGTTTCTCACAAAAACGGGATCGATGGTTGACTACAATAAAACAGGTCCAACGTATTCGGGGTTCTTCCATGGCGAGATGGAATATTGATTTCGTCAATAGTTGTTGAAATTCCGACATAAATTATTCTCAC